GTCCACGATCTAATTGATCCACAAATAGAGCTTTATCTTCCGGTCACACTGATGATACTTCGAGGTTTTCAGACATGGAGAACTCGAATGTGTACTGCACTTCCATCGAAATACTATTAGTTGCGCAGTGACCAATAGAAATGAAGTTATAGGAAAAACGACTTTCTTAGGGTAAATCAAGGGAAAGAGTTCAAACCTGAGCTGTATTCGGTCCATGTCCTATTGGTTTGGCAACGCGCAATAGAAATCAACATTTTAAATGGTAGATTTCACAGTATAATTTTGATATTCAGACAGTCTAGGATGATTGATTTGTATGATTCACTTTTTGAAGTACACATAACTCTCGGATTTAAATCCGAAGTTTCCGCATTTATTAGTCCCTAATCAAGATTTCTTTTGCCTATTTTATTCATCTTAAAAACATTCAATGTATAATAATGACGCATCATCATCAACAACAAGCTGACTACTATCAGTCATTTGAGCATCCGTTTTATTGAATAAAAAGCATGATTGAAGCTAATTCACCATCTGCCATTGCGGACGGTTTATTTCATTCGAAGAGCAAAATTGTTCACACCCTAGACGTCAATTTATTTTCTTGCTCTATTCATTGTCACAACTGGCATAATAGAAGAATCATATTAGTTGAACGATTGTATTCTGTATAAGTATGTTTCAATCTTCACATTGTAATTTTCTTTTGCTCTCATCGACGTTAGCTTAGTAAATTACGTTCTAATTGTCAGAATTACTTAACTCTGTGAGTATGTATAAGACACATTCAAGACTAAGAATAATCAACAATGATTCGATACGAACTACAACAATTATAGAAAGTTGAATCTAGTGGCGGAGCTAGAACACTAATACTCTTCTTGTTTTGGGTAGGAAGTGGCGCTCTCGCTACATATGCTATTTATTCAGGATACAAATCATCAGTAGAGTAGCTAACGATAAAACGAGAACATTATCTCCTCTTGGATTCTGACCAGAGTAGTTGAAAAAAGCTACCACTCTGTTGTCACTGCTTATTCTTGATAGCATCCCATGTCATCAAAATCGTACAAAAACTGGCGATTTTATCGCGATTATTCACATACGAGATGGCTCTTTAATAGCACTCAAATAAAAAAAAATGAAATATTTTTGCATCGGTTCAATCAAACAGACTTGTTATTTTGGTTAGTAGTAAATATTCATTCAAAGCTTTTTTTTTCATACGGATAAGATAAGCTAATACTACTGTTAAGTATTATTGTTGCTATGATGAAAGCAATTTCACCTGTTATCAGGTAAAAAAAAGTACATGTTTAGCGTTTCATAGATAATCATCAGTTGCTATCTAAGAGAATAATAAGAGCATGTCAAAACGAGGTCTTTGAATGATTTCGTATTGATGCACCTGGGGAAAATTGTTAAAATTAGTTAGTTTAAAGTCCATAGTTACAAAATTTTGGATTTTCAAACATGAAACACGAATCTTTCAAGGAGGTTCGTGTTTTGGTAATCAAATGGTTGTAATTTTATGTTTTATTTATAGAACATGAATTTCAACATTTAAACGGACTAGTTATGAAAGTTTGTTCTTATTCTTCTCTCAGATGACAACTAACAATTATCTATGAAACACTACACATGTATTTTTTGTTGCACTTGATAACAGGTAAAATTGCTTTCATGATATTAATATTAATACTTAGCAGTAGTATTTACTTAGCTTATTCGTATGGAAAAAGCTTTGAATGAACTAAAAAAGTAATCCATTTGTTTGAACTGACGCGAAAAAATTTCATTGTTTTTTTACCGTAGTGTTATGTATGGGCTACTCTGTAATATTTTCAATGATCCGATCTGGTTGCAGTATATTGATCTAACTTTCCCCCAAAACAAAAGCCCACTTGGTTTCTATTTTATATATATTTATATCTCACAAATTAGAATATAGAAAAGAAAAAAAAAATGTTGCTTAAAAGCAGCATTATGGGCGTGTCGCAACTGACGTAAGAATCGAATTATCATCAACCAAATGATTCACGTTTTTCATTTTTCTATATTTGCATATGTTGAACTCAATGAATTTCTATTATGCTCAAAAAAACTATAGTCATGAGACTGAGTTTTTATTCTGAGTGGTCTTTTAATTGAGAGAGGAGTTTAGAACTACAGCTATACTTTCGATTACGATCGAATTGTGACGTAGTTACACTATAATTGCGTCACAGTTGCTGAAAATAAGACGAGATGAATCGGTACGTCATGACGTATTTATCACCGTGCTCATATATGTTTCTCGTGAATGGAGAGAGGACTGATTTTATTCCACTGATTCAAAATAAATGCTTCTTTTTTAAATAAAACAACACTTACTGTTGATGATTGTTAGAAAATCGTCAAAAGTGACGTGATTTTTATGACATAGATCGATGCACGTGGCAGGACACCACCCGATACTGCTTATGGCAAATACGAGGGACACTATTGAATTGGCTAGACAATATTTAACTATTATATACAACTATTCCTTCTATTTGTTTACTTCACATAAGAAAATATCTATTTTTGTTCGATCATGTAAATCTTTTCCTCATATAGTTCATTTTCTGCGCCTCTGTTTCATTTAGTTTTACAGACATTGTTTTTTTTTTCTTAATTGACATAAAAAAAGATTTATCAATTTAATTAATTTGATGCTTTCTTATTTCATCTCAATCGGCAAATTAAAAATAACAATATATCGATTGATGATATGAATCTTTCGTGTCTCCTTGATTGCGGGCAATTTTTCTTAATTGGAGGAAAAATATGTCCGCAAAGTAGAATCAGGGGGTATAGACAAAAAATGACCGCATTTTGAAAATTGTCCGCAAAGCAGAATCGAGGCAGAGAATGAAAATGTCCGCATTATAGAATCAAAAAAAAAGTAGAAATAGTAAGAAAATTAGTACAGACAAATCGATTCTATCGACGCTAATCAGTAATGATTCGATTAGAACAGGAACACGCACAACAACGAACAACTCGTCCAAAAAGGTTAACTTCAGTTAATAATGAAAATATTTTAGTACAAGCAACAAAAGATTATTTAAATGGTCTACTAGATTTAGATGATTATCAAAAAAGACTACGTTCTCTTTGTTACCGATACATTCACATATTTGATACATCTGACAAAGATGACGAAGATTATGAACCAAAGCATAGTTGAATGTTGAATCATCTCGTACTACTTGTATCTTTCTCTTTCCTCACATAATAAATTTTTTCTTGATTCTATAATGCGGACATTTTCATTCTGTGCCTCGATTCTGCTTTGCGGACAATTTTCAAAATGCGGTCATTTTTGTCTATACCCCCTGATTCTGCTTTGCGGACATTTTACCTTAATTGGTTAAAAAAAGTGTCCGCATTGTAGCTGTAGCCGAATCTTTATAAATAGCTTTTTTCATTTCTTCGACATAAGAAACTAAGAAACTTTTTCCTGAGAGAAATGCTCAATATGATTAAATAAAATATAAAAATCATACATATAGAACATGTTTTTTTTTTCTATACTTCGAAATTGATACGTCCTTTTTATATGTCCGAATTTTTCTCATATGTCAAATTTGAAAGTTGAATTCATTTACTGAAGAATTAAAAAAAAACAGAATTGCCTGCGTAATCAACCTTGTATATATGTTTTGTAGTGTGGGAGCACTGCCTTTTCGCCGAAAATCCGCAATCAAGATTCATCTCGGTGTATGCAGTAAAGTATATCACTATTTTATGTTATGATACTACTAAAAAGGACGTAAATCAAAACGGATAAGAGAAATTTAAACATTGTTTTTCTACTATTTCCAACTTAATTGAGAAACCGAATGGAATTAATACATATTTTATGTAAGTATATTTATATAAAAGATCCATATTCTATTTCGTATGAATACATTTTTTATTTGCCCAAAATTCTTTCTAAATAGATTATTTAAGAGACACATAATTATTTTGTTTTAGAATGATCTTAAGTATAAATCTTTGCTTCTTGCTATATTGATTTATTCGTTGGTATCAATAATAACGATGAATATTACTAACATGTGCATCTTTCTTTTAAAATTATATATAACTATTACTGATAAGGTACTTATTGTTTGCATGTCCTCAGTAATAAGTTCAAGTATATAAAGGAAATTATTTTCAATGTAAATTTTAATCATTTGTATAAATTGTTAATTCAGTTGTTTTGAACTTTTGTACTATGAGACAATGAAAATAGTTATTTACATTCTTATGAATTGTTTTCTACTGTATTAAAATGATTATGAAAATCAAATGTTTTCATTTAAGTCTCCAAATAATTACTTGATTGAATTTTTAAAATAATGAAAAATAAAATTTTGTAATTGAATATTATTTAAAAACAAAGTTTTATATTATCAATATACAATAATATATCTCAATTAGAAAATGTTACTTCCTATTATTTCTTTTTTTGCGTTCTTACTTACAATCCGTATGCTAAATTTTCTGTTTCTCCTACTGATAGAAATTATCGAGAGTCATAACTATAAACTTATACCTGTTTATAGACTTGTTACATGATCAACTCTGTATGATTCATATGCAATTAGTTACACTTCAATTTTTTAAAATGTTTCATCAATTTTCAAAGTTTTGACATCGAAAATTTATTTCAACTGGTTCTTGGTTTCTCCTGTATATTGAATGACTCACAAAGTATTCTTTTTTTTCCAATTGACTGTAAGAGAACTGACAGAGAAACACTATGTGAAGGAAGAAAGAATATAGAATGTTTTTTTTTTGTTTTTGTTTTTTTGCTACTAACCATAACACGTCGCGAACACACATGATTAAATATTGTTTTGTTTGATTCAGGTAAATATCTAGTAGAATAAATGATAGAAATAATGATTGGTAACTCTATAATTCTTCTATATAATGAGCTGTAGTTAACGAAATTTTGTAGGTATTATTTATTTGAATAAATAAATATGATTGGAATCAAACGACAACAGAATTTTTCGGAATTTGATGATTTGCAAATAAAACAATCGCGAAGTAAGCAATTATGATTTTTGAGTAAATTGTTTTTGTTTTAATTGTATTTCATTGTAGTAAAACTTGAGAAAGATGAGTACGTATGAGTATAAATTTGTAAATAATGTTGTTTTTTTTTTTTTTTATTGAATTCTTTTTCCTATGTTAGCTCATCAAAAATGTATTTGGAAAATTTATCAAATGAACTTTTCTATGAAATTTTTGATTATCTTAATAGTTGTGATATATATAAAGCATTTTCAAATCTCAATATTCGTTTTCAAAATCTTATATTTTATTCACCATTTTCACTTAAAATAAATTTTTGTACGCAAACAAAATCAATAATTGCAGATTATTGTCGATATCTTATCATACCAAATACACATCGTATTATTTCATTTAATTTAAGAAGTGAATCAGTTATTGATCAATTTTTTAAATATTGTACAATTGATTCATCATTTAATCGACTTGAATCAATTATTCTTCATGGTTTAACAGATCGACAACTTCTAACAGTGCTCTTCTATTTAAATTCTCTACCTCGTCTTTTCTCATTGACTATCGATATGGAAGATGATTATTATTATAATCTTGGTGATACATATCGATTAATTTTTTCATTATCGAAATTAAAATATAATAAAATGTCATTATTTGGTTATGAAGAATTACTTATTGAAATGCCAATTATTCTCAATGAAAGATTTAGCACAATTGAATATTTAATTATTGATTACAGTTGTACATTAGATCAACTTGATACTTTACTTCGTCATACACCGCGACTTTGCCATCTAAGATGTGAGCGACTTGTTGAACCCGATGATAATATTAAACAATACCATTCAATAACAATGTCGCATTTGATATACATTTCTATTGGTGAATGTCAAATTGAATTCGATGACTTTGAAAGATTTTTTAAAGAAATATCATTTCAATTAGAAGTATTGTATATATCTATATCTTGGAATATAAGTTATCTTGATGCTAATCGATGGGAACACATAATTCAAAAGTATATGCCTCATTTAAAAAATTTTCATTTTACTTATGATCAATATATTGGTGATATTTTGAATACAAATCCAAATCATGAATTCATTAATGGATTTATTTCATCATTTTGGCTTGAACGAAAATGGTTCTGTGAATTAAAAATTGATCGTGGAGAAATGGTTTTCTTAATTGAACCACACAAGTAATATATAGAGAAAAGATTTTTTTTTACAAAATAACTATTAATTTATCTTGTGTGTGCTTTTCTCTTTAGAAAAGAATGGTCTAAGTTCTATGAATTTACTGCAGATGCTACATATTCTAAACACAAATATATACAAAATAATAATATTATTACTCAAAAAAAGACTAACAATTGTTCCATTCAAATGACTATCGAAGATTATATGTTGACCGAACAATATCGATCAAACATCAATAAATTGAAACCTACTTTTAGTGCTATTCGATTTACTCATTTAAATATTAATAATAATAACATATCTATTAGTATGTTGATAGAAATTTTACGTTTATTACCTAATCTTGAATCATTGAAACTATCATCTTTGTCAATAATTCAATCAACAACTTTATCTGTTGAAGATACAAAACAATACGTTTTAGTATCAGTCATGAACCAAATTACTAAAGTTAAACTCAATAAAGTTACTGAAAAAATACAAATACAATTTCTTATTAATCTTTGTCCACGTATGCAATATCTCGAAGTAGATTGTATGTCATATACAGACCTAGAAATGTTCATGACATTTATTTTGATAAATCAAATTACACATATTCCTGATCTTTATTGTTTATGTTTGAATGTTCCAAATGCAAACGATCATATGATTAAAACTATAGCACTGACAATTGAACTAGAGACAATTATTGATAATTATAAAATTCAACGTATAGGCAACAAATTTTTCTTCCATTGGAAATTAATGCAATAGATTTTGTTTTATACTAGATTTTCTTTTTGTTTTTTTTGACAATTCTAATGTAAATAAAATAATCTGATAAATAAAAGTTTTTCTTTTTTTCATGTATATAATAATTCTATAAAAGAAAAATCTATTGATTAGTATTTACTGTTTTTAATAATGATTATAATTAATGATTTTCAATTTTTCGAATAGTTTTCAATCCAAGTTGATTAACCTTCTTTATCTGGATTAATATTATGATATGTTCTATTAGTTCAATCTTGACTACAATGTTGTCTTTTAAGGAAGTAACCTTTGGATATTAAAGATTATTTTTGGTTTTACATTTTCATTCTATTGGTTTTTTGTGATAAAAAATATTCTGATAAATAATAATTATTTAAGATCTTTCTTACAGAATACAATTCTATTTTGTTTGTCTATAAAGATATGTAAGGGTTAAAACAACGATGATGTCCTTGTATTCTATACGTGTATTGATTACGTCGTATTAAAACGAAAAACAGAAAAGAGCACAAAATGACGTCTATAAAACAATAATGAATCAAATATTCGCGACGATAACTATATTTCGTCGTTGAGGTGGTCGATAAAAAAACATTGAAGCATAAAATTGTTTACGAAACCCGTAGGTGGGACGTTTTGTTTGTATGATTAAGTAATCTTCTATAGTTAAAAAATGCATGATTATTATGGTCAAATACCCACCATATTGTCAATGTATACATTTACCAATACAATAAAATACAAGTGAAAATATGTATATTGCAATAAACAGAGTCGAGTTCATACATTGAAATGAGACATAATTGTCTTAAGAAATCGACATTCCTAGAGACTATACTTAATTAAGAGTATTCGAAAAAGTGCCTTGCTACTAGTATGTCACAGCAACTTTCAGGTACTCATCCAGGTTAAAAAACTATGATAGTAAAAGATGGTACGCAAAAAAAGCAATGACGTATTACGATGACTCAATACTTCAATTACATGCGATGTTATAAGATTCTCGTAAACAACCGTTGAATACGATCATCGTAAACAACGTTCGTTACACGATTGTATTTTTTATATTTACAAATTTTTTTAATATTTACATCCATTCCGATGTCACAACAAACAATAATTATTATTTTAAATTAAATAATAGTTGATCACTTTTCTGTTTATACATATCAACTGTTTCCCTTAAAAAAAAATCCATCAATATGTCATTAAATTATATCTACTAATTTGTTTTGTTCATTGTGTCATTTAAAACAACAAAAGAAGTTCGAAAACATTCATGTGAATTGTACAGAATAATTTTAAATTTATAATATTAATTTTTTGTTTTAAATGCATATGATGTGTTTTTTCAAATACATGCGTTATATAGAGAAAAATATGATATTCTGTTGACCTTCCTCAGTATAATTAGAGGAAATTTTCAAATTACTCACATCAAATATCGTGTTGAGACTTTTTCAGTATATAAATTTGATAGAGATTTCATTTTTTTCGTGTATAATAAATTTATGAACGAACGACCTATTAATTAATATTGATGATTTTCAATTTTTTGATAGTTTTGAACAGTTTTCAATCCGAGATGGTTACATCAACACCTGAAGAAGATTTTGATTATCCAAGTAACTCATGATTGTTATCTTTTAAGGATTTAATCTTTGTGTATCAAATATTGTTTTCTTTATAATTTATCGTTGATTTTTCATTTGTATTCTATTTGTTTTTATAATAAAGAATATTCTGATAAATAAAAATTATTTAAGATCTTTATTGTAGAATACAATCCTAGTTTTTTTTTTATAAAAATATGGAATGATTGAAGCAAAGATGATGTCCTAATATCTTATACGTGTTTATATTATTTTACCCTCCAGTCGCAAATACAAATGTCTGGCATACAACATTGATTACGTTGCGTTAAAACGAAAAATTAAAAAAGGGACACAAGAGGATGTCTATGAAGCAATACTGAGTCAAATATTTACAACGGTAACTGTATCTCGTCATCCAGACAATCGATAGAAATACAAAGAAACATAAAATCATTTATGACATTCATAGTCGTCACTTTTTTGTATGATTCAATAATTTTCTACATCTAAACAGTACTTGATTATTGTTGTAAAATATCCATAAAATTGCAAATGTATTTATTTACTAATACGATTAAATATAAATGAAACCATGGATATTATTATAAGCAGACTCGAGTTCACATATTTAAATGAATCATAGCTACGTTCAGAAACTGACATAGAATTTCAATACATGATGATAATTATAATAACAAATATTTGTTTTTCTTTTTGCTCTTATTTAAATATATGATTGTAAAATTTTTCGTTTGTTAATTGATCAAGTCAAAATCGATTTTATTCAATTATATATATACTTAAAATTAAATTTTATTAATTATTTTTTCCTGTTTCACCAATATCATATCGTATACTATTGTTCATTGATGATAGTAAACGACTTGAGAACAGTAATCATTAGAATAATCAATGATAGATGCAAAATCACTACATTTAGTAATTATGGCGGACATCCAAAAAAAGAATAATAAAGTAAATGGATCCAATATAAACTCACAAGCTGTATTAAATAGCAAAAATATCAACGTATCAATTTATCAGATCACCTATTGTCATACTATACATGTCGCCGACGCTCAATAAAATGGTATCAAAAGTTACTATTTAAATTGGTTTTTAAGACACCAATAGTTGACAACTATTTCATATTATAAAAAAAAAGCTGCACAGAAAGCAATGAGACCAGTGTTCTGTTTCACTAAAGCTTTATGTTGGTTGGTTTGTAAAAAAAAACACTAGCCAACAACAATCAAAAGAGATACTAAGCACTTATGTGATAACTATCTCTAGTATAGTGATCGTTATTATCATATCTTGAAGCCTTGTTGCGTACTCAAGTGCTGATTTATGGAAAGAAAGTCATTTCCTATCGACAAATCTTGAAGTCTGCGTATGTCAAGAAGGTGAAAAACTCTTCGCCTCGGTGTGCACTATACTAGCAGTATTTTCAAATGCATTGTATCGAACTAAATGAATAGTTTTGCAGTCTAAAAAAATAACTGACAGAGTTGAATTGATTGTTCTGAACCACGTGCAATAGCTACAGAGTCTAAATCAGTTCCAGTTATAAGATGAATTTTTAATGTAGATAGGGCTACAACAACACTTATTAGTCAAATAAGATATGATGCAAAAGCAATTGCATAAATGTTGATCCTTATATCTCTTCGATAAATAGGTCATTCGAAGAAAATTCTTTTTATTACTTGATAAGAAACTTTCCTTTTCTATCGAACAATGTATGATTTATGTTTGTCACAGATTGATCAACAAAACGTGATGAGAAAAAAAAGAAACACTGATGCAATAAAATTTTCAATTTTTTATACGAATTTATCAAAAACATCTTGTAGATGATAGTTAATTATTATTAACTGTCGTTTTACAATGGCTTTTTTAATCAGTCGAATTAATTATTATCTAACATGATGTTTCATCGCATTTGCGAATGTTTGAAAAATATAAATCGTACACTGTTCGATAGAAAAGAAAATTTTCTATTAACTGATAAAAAAAAAATCTTTTTTTTTTCAGGACCTATTCATCGAAGAGATATAGAAATCAACATTTTGTGTCATTTTTCTGAATCTTACAAAAAGTGCGGATTCTTTTTAAATGTGTTTCTCTTTTCTGCTACATTGCCGATTACAATAAAAAAACATAAAAACTTTGAATCTTACTTAATCCAAGTTATTTTGTCTTGATCATTTCAATGAGAAATGCCACATCATAAAATAAATGAGTCAAACTCTGGTTTAGACGAAACGGATAAGAGAAGAAAGCATAAAAAATCCGATGGATAGAAAAAAAAAGCAAAATAAAGTATTTTTCAACACGTTTTTTTTTTGTTCTTCTTTTTAATAAATCATTCTTAAGTTGATTCGCAAAGGAAAAGAACAATCGAGCAATACCTTGAATAAATATAATATGAAGTTTATGATTTTTTTGTTTGCAATTTATTTCAATACGAGTTTTCTTTGATGTCGAGATATGTTTTGATTGATAAAATTGTTCAAAAATGTTTAAATATGATAAGAATACATAATTAATAACAAATCACTATATTTCAAGGTTAAAACAAAACAAAAAGCATTTTTTCTGCTTCAATTAACACTTTTACATTGGTATGCATTATACATTTATTCGCTCGTTATTTAAATTAAGCCAATTTTTTTTCTCAAAAAGAAAAAAAAAAAATTTTGCTTCAGTCTAAGACGATCAGTAAACTAAACAACCTTTTTCTTTGAATGATGATTGAAGAAAGTTGAGTATTTATTCTTTCTCGATTCAAACATTTACTGATTGTACACTATGTTAATACACTTTTATTAGACTTTGTGGATTGTTTCATTTCCTCATGCTAATTTCTATGGAGACATGATTAATCATCTTCTCACATATTTACTGCACCCACTACATCCTTGCTCGCTCACACACGCCTCATTTTGAATGAAAAATTAATGACTCTTATTTTATAAATTAGTGTTAATTATCGAACTTATTATTTCAATGTATATCTTGAAAAAAAAAATCATGCTACAAAAAAAATAAAAGGAAATGTATGGGTTATTAGTCATTGGCCCGCATTTGTTGTTTAACAATGCAATGCAATTAGACGTTTTTATTCGAACGATGATCTCCCTTGAAAACTTTATTACAGTTTTTCATACATCTTAATTTTCATATGCAAATACAAGAAAAAAAAATCTATGAAAACGGCAGAATATTGCAAATGTCAAACTATTGACAGTCATTTTATATGTCGTTAATGTGTTACACGTGAGCGTGTCCCATAGAATTTAAATAGTATGTAGTATGAAATTACAAAGAGAAAAAAAAATAGTATGCATGCAAGTCACGACAACGACGACGACAAGAACAGCAAAATGAGGATCAACATAT